CTGGACACCCATTTGCGAATTAGTGCTGAACATCTCTTCGACATTCCAGCCATTGTTGCGCTGATATCGCTGACGCTGATCTGGCTGAAACAACCCCACGTACATGACTCATCGCTTACAAATTCTCTTCTCGCCGCGAAAGCACCACATTTGAGGATACAATTTCTGCGCGTTCAGCGGAAAAACTTGGGTGACGAATAGAGTGAGGGCAAGGTTCAAGCACTAGAGTATCGTACCATTTGATCGAGTGGCTCAATCTCTTCGGCATCTTCATCGGCACTCCATTCTTGTAGTTCATGATCTTCATCACCAATACGCCCATTCTGTTGTTTGATATGATAATCACGGTCAGTGGCAAACCCTATAAACGCCATTTATTCCGTGGCTATTCACAACATATTATCAGACCTAACGTCACACTTTCATCATGGCTCAAACTGTTTGCGATAATCGTATTTAATGTTTAGATATTCAATTCTGTCTGGTCAGCTGACACCCTCATTGTCAACAGATTGTGAGCATGAGAGTCAGCATTTTCTAGAGACATGTTGTGCTTGGAACCCGGCGGAACCCACGTAAACAACATTCCGTCTTATCGCGAAAAATTATGTACCCATTGAATCAGCGGGAGAAATCGCAGCGATAATTGATGGGTATTACACGAAAAAGATGCCCGATAAATCATGGAAAAATATCGAGTCCGGCAGGTTGAAGAAGATCATCGAAAGCTGCCCAAAACTAGTGTGGATCGATTAAGCACTACCCTTTCACAGCTACGACTTTTGACGAAGCCGAGTTCATACCTTGCGACTGAGGAAATTCAGCGATTTGGAAGATTCGGCGAATTGGGGCACTGCGCGACGTGGAAAACATGGATACCGTTCTGGCGACTGCGGAAGTTGAGCCGACAAATCAACGTTTCCGGAGACTGAGCGTTAACGGCATGGATGAGTATTGATAGGCGCCAGTCGCCAGCAATTGCAGAGATTGAGCGATCCGACGAACTGGGCGATTGAGTGACATGGCGATTTGAGAGACTCTGAAACGCAGGATCACCTAATCTCTCAAGTCGTCGAATCGCTCAATCTCCCGAACCGCCGAGTCGCCTAAATTTCGCAGTCGCTAGCGAAGGCGCCAATCGACACCAAAACAACCACTCATTTGACGCGTAATCGTCGTAAACGCCGAGCCGTCCCAATCGCTGGGAACGCTCAATCTCAGCAATCGCCGGTCCGATGCTTATACTGTCCTCGTCGCACAACTTCTCTCATTGTCGAGTCCCCCAAATCTCCGAAGCTCCTCAGTCGCAACGAGTGAACGCGGCCTGAAGGGCCACAGTAACATTGCGCATCACAAAACCGAAATTCGACTAGAAATGCGCAACCCCTAATGGTAGATGGCATGGTCCTGATGGACACCCGCGCTCTCTTATCTTTTCCCAGATCAGAGAGCGCAAGCATCCATCAGAACCTACAAGGAGTAGCAATACGCAGCTTTCCCAGCTTTTGGCATAATATAGCTGTTTGGCGTTTTTTGGATCACTAACCAAATTAATGTAATTCCATTATAAAACCGCTTAATAACCAGCGTACTTGCCCATGAACCTGAAAGCATGAAACGGAAGAAAATAAGGCACAGTTCGACTTGGCTGTGTCACTCGCTTGGCGGTGTTTCACAAAACTCTACTTGATGGCTTGACACTGTCGTGTCAAGTCATCGTGTAGAGTTCTGGAAATCTTGAGAAGCCATTAAGTGATACCTGCCGAAGTTCGTAAAAACTATCTGTCAGCTCTTGTAGAGATGACTCGTCAACTGCGTAAGGCAATCAATACGACAACGGCAGGACAACGGAAAGTAACAAATGTGCAGAATGCCCCTCCCAATCCGAACTAAGCCAAGATGATTCATACGGTAACCGAAATTTTTTTCCGATGGAAGGCGAAATAAGCTGTACACAACACATTCGGCCACGACCTTACTGATTTGACGGCAAAGTGCTCCCTCGAGTCAACCAGTTAGAACACGGATCTGCGTGCGATGGCACTGCTCAGATGTCCTGATTTTCGTCCAAAAAGCCCAGCTCTTTCCGAATCATCAGAATAAAGAAATCCACTCCACAGGGACATTGATTGAATCTCATGTTCCCACAAAGTTCCAAGCACACTGCGCAAATATGAACTGAAATAGAAAAATAGGAGAGAATACCGACCTCTTATAACCTTTTCCTCGTTCATAAGGGCTGACATCGCTACTATATCACTGAATTTGAACAGCATTTTAGTGGTCATATCCTCCTTTTTCGGTAGTAGATTCGTCATATTACCCGTTTTGTGATTTGTATAGCGCGTGTCGTATAACGCCATGTAAAAACTGAAACCGTTACACTTCAAATGCAAATCAATCTTTTATAATATTCGATGTAAAACGCGGAGAGATTGGTGCTGATCTGACAAGAAAAAGGTAACACCAGAAGATTTTTTCTGCTAACATAATTGCGACATTTTGAAAGTGATCATGGGTGAGATCACAGAGGTCAGAGGACCCTCTGTTTGCTTCTATTTCTCATGTCCGCTGACCAAAAAATCTCTGCCAATCTGGCTCGTGGGATTACTCAACTCTCAACCTCAGAAATTCGACAGAGCACTGGATGTTAGGCGAGGGACGCATTCGAGTACAAACGAATACAGAACGAAAGTTCCGCTTCATATAACATCACATACAAGCTCTTCGCCGCAAAAGAGAATCGGAGCATCGCGAAATAGGTGAATCTGCGAGATACGTGTCGATTTGAGAAATCAGTGAGCCCGCGAAAAAGATTAGATATTCGTTGATTGTTGGGTTTCCAATTCTTTGCTGAAACGCGTTATTCAATACCAGTCGGCTCGCCGGCTAACGTCGCCGCGCCTCTGATCGGCCCGGTATATCGGGCTAGCGCGGCTTTCGCCGCGCGTATTTTCTTTCACATATTTCTAGACTCAACTGATATCCACCTTTTGTTCAGTACTTTTTTCCGGTGTCTGAAGTACTCTTGAGCTATTTTACAGATTCTTCGTCTAACTTCGCCCTCCTCGGGGCAGGCCCCGCCCACAATCCATGTGCCACAATGTTCGTGCCACACAGTCCTCACAGGCGACCCTCTACGACCAATCCACGTTTTTTTTCCGGTCTTTGAAGTGCTCTGAGACAGTTTTAGAGAATTTTCCGTCTGGCTCCGCCCACCTCGGGCTGGCTCCGCCCACAATATGTCTACCCCATATTTCTCAATCGGCGACCCCTTGCTGACCTGAATTCACTTTATTCCGGTCTTCGGAGTGCTCTGGAACCGTTTTACAGACCTTTTTGTCTGGCTCCGCCCACCTCGGAGCAGGCTCCGCCCACAGTGTTTTTCCTCCCCACAATCCTCACCGATGACCCTCTGCTGAACTTAATCCTTTTCCGGTGTCTGGAGTGTTCTGGAACCGAGCTACAAACTTTTAAAATGAATACCCTGCGATTTAGGGCAAGCTCCGCCCACTGTGGGCGGGTCTCAACACACTTTGAGCGTGCCCTATATTCGCCAGATATTTACATTCTACACTGAGTTTTTGCGACTTCCAAACACTCTCGCGAACCGGGTTACTGAATTTTGCGAGAAGCACCGCCCACCTTGAGTACGCCCCGCCCATTTGTACCTGCCACAGTTAGTCTGGCGACTCCTTACTAACCTTAGTCCCTTTTTTCCCCATCTTTAAGCTGCTCCGGAAGCGAATTATGAACATTTTTCTGCGGAACCCCAAACTTTCGGCGAGTGCCCCGCCCACTGTGGGCGGGGCTTGCCATAGGTCAAGTGTTTTTATTTCTTGTCCCATGCCCTACCTATCCCCACCTTGACTGGACCTCTCCAAGTCGTTCTTCAGGTCGAACCGAATTTCCAGACAGACAAACTTACAAAATTACGAAACAAGACAAAGCAGACAAAAGCGAATTATATATATGGGGTGAGTGATGACATCTTTCTCGCGCGCTCACCGACTTTCCAGGTGGATAATCACAAGTTTTTACTCCGCAGATCTTCCAAATCCACTGCTTATCCGATTCTGGGTAGATGTATGCGAGGGCAGCATAAGAACGCGTTCATAGTTTGCGTTTTGATCACCCATCAATATTTTAAGCGTTTCTGGCGCCTAAAAAATTTTAGGTACCGATTATCATTAAAAACGCTGGTGTAATTTCAAAACGCTGAATCGATACCTGTCATTTTCGCCTAGTCGCTCACAACGCTGACAGACACTGAAAACGCACTCTAGGGAGATACGGCAGAAAACTCTGCCTCCAGGTAACTAAGATAAAATAGGAATGATGGAGGCAGCTTCTGAATCAAGACCACTTCAAAGGGAACTATGTATTGGAAAAGGGCAGTGTCCCAAACTTTTGCAGCGCCCCCCCCAGACAAAATAAAAACGCAAAAAAAATTGAATCAACGCGACACTGATGTAAAAGGACGAACGCACTGCTTGATAAACGCGTAAAACTTTCATTAGGTTTTTCTCGAAAATACGAGGAAGCTCCGACCTATAGCGCTTCCCTGATGGCTTCTATTTGGATTTTTTAGCGCCAGTCGAAGGAAATTAGCTATTTTTAACGGTGGCGCGTATCTACAGAAGAAACATGCAGCCATCGAAAAGCTATAACAAAACAGGGCGTTGTCCAGCTCGGAAGGGGCATTTTGGACTTTCGCTAGTTCTTTTTAGGAGTTCCTGTTATACTACGCGTCAAATCTTGATAAGACCTGTGAACTGTTGTCAAAGCAAGCATTGTTCCTGCTTTTGCATAGCTTTACAGGAATTTACAGGTCTCTTCAGGAGAATGCATCGCAAGCGATGATAGGAACCTCAATTGCATAGCAAGCGGTTGATAGGAACCAGCAATATGCCCCCACCGAGCCAAACTGCGATAAAAGCGTTGTTATTTGTGTTTGATTCTTTTGTGGCCTTCGAGGTTGTTAGGTGGAACTATTTATTAACGGCCTAACGTTTCGACCAGATCGTCGTCCTCGGAGGCCAAGTCCACCGCGGTAGGAGCGGAAGAAGCCGCCCAGTCAGTTGTTAGTAGTATTTGTTAGTACAAATACTACTAACAACTGACTGGGCGGCTTCTTCCGCTCCTACCGCGGTGGACTTGGCCTCCGAGGACGACGATCTGGTCGAAACGTTAGGCCGTTAATAAATAGTTCCACCTAACAACCTCGAAGGCACAAAAGAATCAACACAATAAAGCTGTTATTGTTTGATAACTGCTGTTTAACGCCGCAGTACGCGATACGAAAGCTATCACAAGAATGCTGAGTTATGGGCAAAAGTCGGACCACGGACGGGATTCGAACCCGCATCTTCTGCTTACCGGGCAGTTGCGTTCCCTATTACGCTACCGAGGCCACTTTTGACCACTCAGCTCAATGGCTATTTGTGCCATAGCCTTACAGCACTCACAGGCAGGGTCCGTTCAACGTGTGAGGCGGTTAGCCGCGATATCGCGAAAGTGGAACGCAAGGCTGAAGGCTTTTTACAAGTTTCAAGCTGTTATTGTTTGATAACTGCTGTTTAACGCCGCAGTACGCGATACGAAAGCTATCACAAGAATGCTGAGTTATGGGCAAAAGTCGGACCACGGACGGGATTCGAACCAGCATCTTCTGCTTACCGGGCAGTTGCGTTCCCTATTACGCTACCGAGGCCACTTTTTCACAAATAACAACGATGCCGAGGTTCTATGAAGAGAGAAGTTGGAGATTATTGGCGATAAAAGCAATTGTTCTTCAGAAACAGAGAGACTCACTTCTGGAGAGCATGCAGTGAATATCCCCGAATATTTTGCCCCGTCAACTGCTTCTACCAACACTTCCTTGCCCTGCAAAAGGGTAAACTCATGGCAATACTTATGGAATTTTGAAGCGGAAAATCAAAACAGAATTGTATTCATGGAAAATTTCAAGCGAAAACCAAGGCCAACTCACCACCAAATCATTTATGATAGTCAATAGTGCATGGTTAGCGTATATTCCGTCAACCTGGCTCTGCAAAGAAGCTATGTTTACAACACCGAGTGAAAGAAAGCTCACAAAGCACTGAATTAAAGAGCTAAAAGAGGAACATTATGGATACGAGTGATCTTAATATACCATTTGCGATGCGTAACAAGTAATCATTAGGGTTTTCTGATGAAATTTCGAAGGGAGAAGATGAATATTTTAAGCCTTAAGTTATCCTAATATTCAAATTTATGATTATTTCACATTACAAACATCCGTTACGTCTACGGGCACGGGACGCGAGGGCACGAGCAAGAAAAGGCATTGTCATCGCCCGCTCGACGAAGTTAACGATCAAGGGGATGACAGGTGAGCCGGATGATCATAAATTTAAAAGCAACATCAGGTTTGTCCAGCCGCACCTCTACGCTACGCTACTTTCGGAAACTTTTCTGCTTAGCTACAGCAAAGAACCACAGTCTGGCCCTATTCAAATCCACGTTTCAAGCCACGTCCATGGATTTCGCGTTTTAGGCGAACATGAATGTGAAGTGAAGTTCGCTGCGGACGGTTGGGCGTGTCAGGCGGGATGGGTTTGCTGCGGGTGCCAAACCCGTTCTCCACAAGTTATTAGAGCAAGCAAATGATATATGTATCATATCGTTCGTATTACTCATTTTCTATCACTTTCTGTCGCACGTGCGCTTTAGCAAGAAGGCAGAGAACGGCTTTGATGAGGTGACACCACACTGTCTGACACGCCCAACCGTTCGCAGCGAAATAGTGTACATAGGTATCCGTTCTGGGAGGAATATCAGCGTTCGCGGATTGGCTTGAAGCGCTTTGAGCATTCTCAGCGCAGCGCAGGCGTTTTCGCCCGAAACGCTGAATCGATACCTACACTTTCACCTTCAAAACGACGTTGAGAAGTATGAACGCAGCCTAAAAGATGCTCTAGTAACAAGCAACATGTTCTGCTTTAAGGCGTAGTTCATTCAGGTGAGCCCCGCCCCCCCCCCATTTCCCTTGGCTAATTTGACTGCAAGCCTACGCCACATAAGCGCCAGGCTTTGGAAGGCCTTTTCGGGGATAATTGCTTTCTACTGATCTATCGAGTTGGTGATATCACGCCAACTGGAGCAGTCAAATCGTCGACTGAATCACGTAACCCTTGCCTTCTTACATAAGCGAGAATTCATGGGTAGCGCTGATAAGTTAACTACCCTGTTTTTGTATAGAGGCACCTTCACTTTCCAACGCACCGAATTTTCTTTTTCACTTTTAGCGTGTTTTTTGACTGTTCCCATTCGCAGCCATTGTTTTTATCGAAAACCTTTTGGAAGCCTGAACTATGCAAAAAAAAAGACAGGAAAACTTCTGCTGGGTCTACCAACTCTACGCGTGCGACTTTGTCAAATGCGTCTTATACCCAGAAAATAGTCTAGATGCAATTTTCTCAATAAGTAATCACCTCCAGAGAAAGTGCGGGACGGGTTCTAATACCGATTTTTAGTTGATTGCGTTACAACTTAAAAATGACTTGTCTGAAGTCTCCTAAAAGTTCAACAGCGGCCAAATGGGATACAGCATCTATACCTGCCCATGCAGAATAGGTATAGATCTTAAGAATGAATTGCTAGATGAGATATGGCCTATACATTGAGTTGTGGGAGACAGCTAAGGAACTAGTCGGTGTTCTTGTCCTCTCAGACGAATGTGGTACCACTTTAACGTCCCCGCAGGGTAGAAAACTTGGTTGGCTTGTGCGGTAGTCGACCAGGACTCACCCCCGTGTTCATCGATACGTGTGAAACTAACCACTACACCAGAATGATTAAATAACTTCAATAAGGTGAAATTACCGTCACTGGATTTGAGAGTTCATAAGGAGAAGAAGTTCATAAGGAAAATATCTTCGGATTGGGTGAACCAACACCGTAATTCTGAGAAAGACAGTTTTAAAGAGCCATTTAAATACCCCAACACCGTCCTCAGCCGACTTGTCCCCAGAGCACCGAGCCTCAGTACAATAAAAGGAACATATTTCACTTGAAAATCTTTTTACACCACGTAGTTATTTCGACTCAGCAAAACCTAGATCTTAATCGGTGAGCAATGAAAGCAAAGACGAAATTAAAAATCGATAAAAAGCCTATTGTAATAAATTAATGAATAAATAACTTAAAGAAAAAATGACAAAATATCTAAGAAATTAGTAACTCACCATATCAGGAAGCGTGTTTTCTTCAAATTGAAAACCGAAACAAATAAATCAATCAATAGTTACGCCAAACTTTCACACACAGGCTGAAAGGGCGCACTAGCCGAGCGCGACAAGGAAAACAGAAATTCCTAAGAAGAAACTTCTGTTTCAATCTGAAACAACCAAAACCATGAAATAGTGGCGGGACTGATAAAAAAGTGGTCCACGTGGTATCAAAAACACGCGAATGACATGAGAAAACGAAAATATACTGGTTTCGCACAAATGTCAGCGCATGAGAAAAAGTCTGATAAAAAATTCACAAAATGGTTCAACATGACGTCAGCTAGCACTAGATTCTGGCAAACGTCCAAGAAAAAAAAGAAAGCAGGGGGAGATTCTGCAGAGAACAACTACGCACATTTATGGACGACGTATGGTTTCAACATGATTCTAGAAATGCATGAAAGAAGCAAATGTCCAGTTTTAGAACGTGGAAACCTTCAGGATTCTTGGAAAACCGCGAAAAGTTGGCTGAGAGATAGGGGGCACTTAAAGGGATTCTCGCGCAAAATGAGGACATCCTCGTTACAAAATGATGTTCCAGCAACTCATGAAGGTCCTATGTCGAAAGATTCTCATCTTCAACGGCAATCCCCAGTTTCAGTCTTCAATTGCACCCCCCCAAACCGAATTCTCGATGCTAACAACCTTGTTACTATAGAAATATCCAAGAAAAAGCAACGAGAACGAACAACACACATTTTGGACAACGGATGAATTTTCACCATGTTACATGAAGCGATGAAAAACATAATCCTAGCAGAACCTTCCAAGAAACAAGTATCGCATCCATTATGAAAGCTGGCACATACCACAAGAGAACCGTCAGAAACTCGTTCATAAGGGCTGACATCGCTACTATATCACTGAATTTGAACAGCATTTTAGTGGTCATATCCTCCTTTTTCGGTAGTAGATTCGTCATATTACCCGTTGTGATTTTATACGCGTGTCGTAAACCAATGTCAAACTGAAAACCGTTACACTTCAATGCAATATCTTTTATAATATTCGATGTAAAACGCGGAGAGATTGGTGCTGATCTGACAAGAAAAAGGTAACACCAGAAGATTTTTTCTGCTAACATAATTGCGACATTTTGAAAGTGATCATGGGTGAGATCACAGAGGTCAGAGGACCCTTCTGTGCTTTATTTCTCATTCCGAACCAAAAAATCTGCCAATCTGGCTCGTGGGATTACTCAACTCTGAACCTTAGAAATTCGACAGAGCACTGGATGTTAGGCGAGGGACGCATTCGAGTACAAACGAATACAGAACGAAAGTTCCGCTTCATATAACACCACATACAAGCTCTTCGCCGCAAAAGAGAATCGGAGCATCGCGAAATAGGTGAATCTGCGGGATACGTGTCGATCTGAGAAATCAGTGAGCCCGCGAAAAAGATTAGATATTCGTTGATTGTTGGGTTTCCAATTCTTTGCTGAAACGCGTTATTCGATACCAGTCGGCTCGCCGGCTAACGCCGGCGCGCCTCCTTCTGATACGGCCCGGCTGCGCCGGGCGGGCGCGGCTTCGCCGCGCGTATTTTCTTTCACATATTTCTAGACTCAACTGATATCCGCCTTTTGTTCTGTACTTTTTTCCGGTGTCTGAAGTACTCTTGAGCTATTTTACAGATTCTTCGTCTGACTCCGCCCACCTCGGAGCAGGCCCCGCCCACAATGTTTGTGCCACAATGTTCGTGCCACACAGTCCTCACCGGCGACCCTCTACTGACCTTAATCCACGTTTTTTTTCCGGTCTTTGAAGTGCTCTGGGACAGTTTTAGAGAATTTTCGTCTGGCTCCGCCCACCTCGGGCTGGCCCCGCCCACAATATGTATACCCCACATTTCTCAATCGGCGACCCCTTGCTGACCTGAATTCACTTTATTCCGGTCTTCGGAGTGCTCTGGAACCGTTTTAGACCTTTTTGTCTGGCTCCGCCCACCTCGGAGCAGGCTCCGCCCACAATGTTTTTGCCCCACAATCCTCACCGACGACCCTCTGCTGACCTTAATCCTTTTCCGGTGTCTGGAGTGTTCTGGAACCGAGCTACAAACTTTTAAAATGAATACCCTGCGATTTAGGGCAAGCTCCGCCCACTGTGGGCGGGTCTCAACACACTTTGAGCGTGCCCTATATTCGCCGGATATTTACATTCTACACTGAGTTTTTTGCGACTTCCAAACACTCTCGCGAACCGGGTTACTGAATTTTGCGAGAAGCACCGCCCACCTTGAGTACGCCCCGCCCATTTGTACCTGCCACAGTTAGTCTGGCGACTCCTTACTAACCTTAGTCCCTTTTTTCCCCATCTTTAAGCTGCTCCGGAAGCGAATTATGAACATTTTTCTGCGGAACCCCAAACTTGTGCGGCGATTGCCGCCCACTGGTGGGCAAGGTTTGGGCCATTAGGGTCAAGTAGTGTTTTAGTTTCTTGTCCGATGGGCCGCTACTATCCAGCTTGTGACTGGACCTCTCCAAGTCGTTCTTCAGGTCGAACCGAATTTCCGGACAGACAAACTTACAAACTTACAAACTTACAAACTCACAAACAAACAAACAGACAAAGCGAATTATATATATGGGGTGAGTGATGACATCTTTCTCGCGCGCTCACCGACTTTCCAGGTGGATACGCACAAGTTTTTACTGCGCAGATCTTCCAAATCCACTGCTTATCCGATTCTGCAGGGTAGATGTATGCGAGGGCAGCATAAGAACGCGTTCATAGTTTGCGTTTTGATCACCCATCAATATTTTAAGCGTTTCTGGCGCCTAAAAAATTTTAGGTACCGATTATCATTAAAAACGCTGGTGTAATTTCAAAACGCTGAATCGATACCTCATTTTCCTAGTCGCTCACAACGCTGACACAACACTGAAAACGCACTCTAGGGAGATACGGCAGAAAACTCTGCCTCCAGGTAACTAAGATAAAATAGGAATGATGGAGCAGCTTCTGAATTCAAGACCACTTCAAAGGGAACTATATTGGGAAGCAGTGCCA